TTTTAAAACTTAAAATAAACATCTGTCTTCATCCCTGGCCATGGAACATTTTTTTGTCTTAAGTAGACACCACCCCCTATTTTGTAATGAATAGACTTTTGCAGAGACTAAACAACTCTCAATGATGCTAAACTTCCCTGCTGTTTTTAATGTCCTACTTTGGTTACCGCCTTTCCTATTGCAGCCCTTGATTTTTCCCACAGTTTGTGCTGGCCCCTGTCAAGGCTGACAATGAGTGTTACAACATTTTAAATCTATTACTGCCTGAGGCATAGTGATACGAGTATGGTTTACTTCATTTAGTCCTTCTTTTTTCTGTCGACCATCAACATGATGCCCAATGATTGAAGAGAATGGAGGGAGATGTGTTCATACCTTTTCTCAGGCTGATAGTGCAAAGTGAATATTGGGTAGTTTAGGTAGGGGTATTTAATGTTGAATATAAATCATATAGAACAAAAATAGATACATATAGGTATAGTTAACTCTTCTTTTTTATCTACTGTGTCCCTTTAGTATGTAGGTGATAATGGCTCTCCACAACTTCCTATCCTTTGTAACTCTAAGCAAAGATGTTTCTTTACTATCCCACCCTGATCCTCCTCTACTATTCATTTATACAAATTCCTTACGTATATTATTCACAGTTTCTCTCTGCCTCGCTTGCCTTCAATATGCCTTGTGAGTGCCACATTCTCCAAGCCCTCCTTCTTCCTTATGTGTCCAGGAATCTCAACTTTTCTGATATCAAATGCAAAAACATTTTGTTCCTATTTTCTTTAAAACTTTGCTGTTTCTCACATGTTCCATCTATGACATTCTCAGCATCTTTCTGTAGAAACACATTTCTTTTGCCTCAAGTCACTTCTTCATCTGTGATAAAATTGTCCTAGATTCACTGTCATATAGGAGGATCAATATTATATTAAATTTCAGCACTCTTTTCTTTATTATCATTTATAAATAAATATCTTTATTATAATATATATAACAAAAAAAAAAAAATCGATTCTCCCGTCGGGTTTGACGTATGAAGGTCAAGCAGATCAGTTTCCAGGAAACTGACAGCCCGACACCGGCACATGAGATTTGATTATAGTGGTGAAGGTTTCGTGCATGACCATGCACACTTTTTGAAAGGCCGAATACAGAAGCCTGGTGCACTACGTGCCACAAGGTTCCCAAACAACCCACCTCAGGTTTTGAATTCAGAGTTGTCCTTCTCCTAGACCAGTTGCCATCCAAGGCTATAGAACCCAGTCTGTCTTGCTATTTTACCCATAGCTGGAAGGAGAAGAAGAGGATTCACACCTTTCCCAAGGGTATTAGCACGTAAGTGAATGTAATGGATTCAACCCGGATTCGAACTCAGCTCTGCGATTCCTCAATCCGAGCCGATAATCATTACTCCACCGTGCCTCATATATATATATATTGTAAATAAAAAAACATAAAACATCTTACATAGGATATACCAGAACCACACTCACACAGAGACTCACTTGCCACCTATCAGACCATATGCCATCTGACAACACATTAATAAGTAGTATAATGATCACTGGAACATAGACAGCTACTCAATACCAAAATACTAGCAAAACAGACTTATGATTCTTGAAACAATACACATACAACACAACAACCATCATTAAATACAAACATATATATAAAGAAAATGTACGCCTACCTCACTTTGCCTACACTATTTCTATGAAACTCACCAACTGATGATAACTTAAGAAAGTTGAAAATTTGGACCATATTTCTTGTTCTTTTCTTCTAAAATGAATTTCATAATTTGGCAAAGTCAATCAATAAAATTAATACACACAAAATGTCATTTTTAATTGTATTAGTCTTATATATATATATATATATATATATATAAAATATATATATATATATATATAATGTATGTATGTATTAAAGTTATATAGATAATTATAAGATTATTTCATGTTAACATAAGATAAACCCCGGTGGTTCAATAAGGACAAATTGGTAGTTGATCTCAAAAGTGACTAAACATCTGCTGTTAACTGGGGCAGGAAATGGCTTGTTAATTTTATTCCTCCAAAATGAAACTGCTCTCTATTAATTATCTAGGAAACCCCTTCTGCTTTCCATCAGAATGGTTGATGTTAACCAGGAGAGTGACACATTGCACCTTCTTGGATTAATGTTTTCTGCTGACATGAAGTGGAAAGATTATATTGAATCCATTGCTAGGTCAGCTGCTAGGAAAGTTGGTTCACTGTGTCAATTTTTCCCTCCAGAATCTATCTTACATATTTATAAGTTTACCATTTATCGATCCTTTGCATATTTCTGCTACATCTGGCCTAGTGCTCCTGGTATATATTTAGAGATTCTTGATTAAATCCAAAGAAGAATCTGCAATGTTATTGGTCCTGACCTGGCATCTCTTCTTCAGTCACTTTAACACCACAGTATTGTAGCTTCCCTCTGCCTTTTTTATAAATACTTTTTCAGTCATAGTAACTAGAATTTATGAATTTAAGTGTAGTACTAGATTGGTGGCAAGGTCTCATTATTTTGCAGTTGAAATGGTGAGATGTAACTATAAGTTTTTTGCTAACAGTTTCTTTTCTCACACTTCTCACTTGTGGAATTCTCTTCTGACTTCTTGCTTTCAAGTCAACTTTGATCTTCAGATGTTTAAATGCAACGTCAGTCATTATCTGCTGTCTTCTTCATTCTTCTTTTAGTGTTCACACGCCTTCATAATATTTCCATTTTTCTTACTCTTTCACACTCAGTAACCTCTTGTGTCTTTGTAGCTTTATTGCCTTGCATAGTGTGATATGAATTTTTAAAAAAATACTGGATTAAAGAATTGAAAAAAAAATTAGTTTTTAAAAATACATTTTTGGGAGCTCAAAATAACCATAGCAAATATTAGGGAGCTCAGTCAGTTTATTAGACTAATTTGGTGTCAGTTGATAATGAGGCTGAAAACTATCCAGCCCGCTGGGATTTCCCTAGAATTCTGGTGACTTAACAATCCTTGAAAATAACTAATTCTTAATTTGTCCCCTGTGTATATATATTAGTGCTATATTCCATATTAATAGGAATATATACTTGAAAAACAAGGTGAATAAAATAAGTAAAGGTTTATTGTAAAAACCAATACAATAAGAATAAAGGTAACAGTTACGTACAAGGTCATCACAAGTCAATCCAGTAGCGAGTGCTGCTATTGGAAGGTCAGTAGTTCTTGTGTAAGTCTAAGTCGTACTCAACAGATCCCAACTAGACTCTGTAGTCCATTGATTTACAGATACTTGTAGGTTAGTTACATGGGGGTGAAAGGTTATTCCATTACATCAATTAGCATAAGTAATTATTTTGCATGTACTGTTAAAGGATGTAAATTTTTTTTTTTTTCATATTTATTGGTCTTATAAAATGTTTAGTAAGTAGTTAAGCTACAAAGACAACTTGAAATTGTAGCAATAGCCATCAACCTATATTATTAGACTATGTAGTTGTCTGGAATCAAAATAATTACTAATAATTGAAAATTAAAAGTTAAGCAATACAAGACTACTTTAAAATGCAGATAATAATGGTAATTAACAATAAAGAAAGAAAAAGTTACATTATAAAAAAAAGTTAAATAAAATATAGAATACTTCCATGATGCATCAGAACAAGTGTTTTACTACCAAATGAAATAAAAATCAAAACTTTCTTTCTGTTTTCAACTGCTGGAGAAGGCAGATGTTTGGATATTCTCGGGAAAACATGTTGCCATCACCAACAGATAACCAAATTTTTTTTTATTTCTGTATATATATATATATATATATATATACATACATTCTTTAAAATATACAATCATTTATCTGAAATGTATACTAAACAATTTATTGTTTGTATTTCTATGCCTATTTTGTTATATCTCATATATGTCTTTGTCATATTATAATCCAGTGTTCCCTTTTGAACCCTAAAAAAATACATAAAGACAAGGTCAACACATCAGCAGAACACCTGAAGATAAAGTAGTTTTATGAAAATATCTCTTTGCATGACTGAATTTGTATAAGAATATTATGAAGATTTAATATGAGAAGATGACACAAATTATTTGTTCGTCCAGCTGAAGACATCATGGAAATATATGTCAATTACAACTAACCAGTTTGGTTTGTCATTGCAACAAGTAAATGCAATGGACCAATCCTCAAATACACTGAGATTATTGTTATTTAAATCATTTATTTTTTGAAATTTCAAATTCCTTTGTAGAGCAGATTGAAAGAGTGTTTTCCACTTGTGCAAATATCTATTTGCCATTTATCGAAATAAACATTTTTGTAATATCTTATTGATTTCAAAATGACATCCTCACATGTCATATTAGGCTTCTTTGTTACATCTTATGAAAAACAGATGAAAAAAAGGTTGAATGCTTAAGCTTGGAGTAAAGCTTTATTCAATGCAATTTAACTACTTCCCATAAGTGAAGTTCAACCACTTCTTTTATAGTCAAATAGTTCAAGGGGGAGACAACTATGGTTGCTTTCTACCACAACAGTAATGGTGCAAATACCTTTGGGGAAAGGTAAGAATCCATCTCTTGTCCCCCAGCTATGGGTTAATTAATAAAACTTGTATCACTAAACTGTTATTATTTAAAAAAAAAAAAAAAAAAAATTCCCAAAAACATTCCAAAAGGAATTTTTTTCTCTTGATACATTTTTTTGGAATGTTTTTTCTTTGCCTGTTGATTGATTGATTTGTTCATTTTTATGGCTTATAAACCCTTTGCAGGTTATTTAAGGCTAGAAAATATTTTTATATCATAAAAATTATTTGGGAGATGATAATGGTTTAGTGATACAAGTCTTACTATATAACCCATAACTGGGAAAGAAGACGTGGATTCATACCTTTTCCCTAAAGGAGGCATGGTGGAGTAATGGAATGCGGCTCTGACTGCAGAATCAGAGAGCAGAATTTGAATT